CACCACTACAACACAATGTTATGGGTGAGCAAGCTGACCGTGGCAAGATGGCCGCCGGTGGGGACGTGCGATTCCATTGGCTGACAGCACGGACGAGACATCTAGCCTTTATTATACATGATGGACGATGCTTTAAACCAAGAATTGTTTTACTTCATTCTATTCTTTGGCCACTAGGAGACGCTGCAAACACTGACATGCACCTTCACAGGTTGATGTGTTGAACATTCGTGCAAACACTTATTTAAACATGCAGCAAACATTAGCATTGATTTGGAGTCATGTTTGCATCCACCTGATAAATCCAATATTCACTTTTCTCTTTACCTCTATATAAGTTCTCTAAATAATCCTAATAAAAACATTGGACTCTTTAGCTGCTAATTGATCCACCTTCCTCACCAGTTTCCTGACAAAGTGGACCAAAACAATAGAGCAAAGTGCAAGAAATCAAAAACAAAGCACGCTAGAGCACCCTGTATCACATTAAAACCACTACAGCAACTTTAATCGGATGCACATATGCACAAAAACATGCAGATAATACTTTCGTTGCAGATAATTCTATTGCATCATTTCAAAATAGCATGTAGTAGAACGTCTTTTCTTTTTTAGTTTTGGAAAAGGGTAACGAGACATGTAAGTACACAATGAAATCGAAACTGTTCCAAAAAATTGGCTGGAAAACTGTGCGATATGTGTGCAAGTGTGCTTTATCTGATTTAGCTTAAACACACACACACACTTGACAAAATACAAAAATCCAACACAATCAAAGCTCCCAGTTTTGCAACCCTGTAATAATTCTGATAGCACTTGGAGGCTGCATTACTAAAACAGACGGTTCCTTCTGTTATCACTGAGTATACCGGAGGCGTATCCAACTTCCCGCACACAATCTCTCTTCCTCATTTCCAGGCAAGTTTAAGTTCAACAGGAGGTCAAGGCCACTTTGCATTACCCCTTCCTTATTCTGGTCATGTGGAAATTTTGATACTTATTAAACTCCATATGATTAGATAATGTATCAGCTGCATTTTTTCCACTGTAGCCCATGTCGCCCTATTTTATTGGTTCTCTTTTAATGATTTCCTTGAATTGTTCCTGAAAAGATGTTTACTTTATGGTGCTAATTAAAATAATCAAGCATCATCCTTGGATTTGTACGCTTGCCAGTAGAGAAAAAAAAACATCTCATTTTTGCAGCAGCTGTGTACTGAAGGCTCTTATTGCCCAACATCAAAACAAAATGACTTCCCAGAAAACTCAAGTTTGCATACGTGTAAACCTCAACTGAAACTTGAAATGTTTCAACCACAATTCTGCCGATATACGTGCGATGCTTCACTCAACAAAAGCCTACAAATTTGGCAATCACCAGCAACTTCTTGAAAAAGCATTAATAGCCGTGCAAATAGTGTTCAAACAAGAAAAACATGCAAGTGGGATAAAGAATTCAGCACTAGAAACAAAAATTCCAAGTGGTTATTTCCTGTTTAAATTTGTAGATGTTTACTTTTAAAACATCCGGTGTTTCTCACAGCCAGAACTGAGCGGATGTGGCAGTTTGTGTGTTTGTGGTTATACTTAGCATCAGTTTGACAGTTTCTCGGCTGAATGTGGAACTTTCCATTTGTGCACAGAATGTGGATTTATGATCAGATATTTAAATTATGAAAAAAGGAACAGTATTAAATTAACCAAATGGTACAGTTGCAACTCTCCTTTGGTGGACGGATGGAGCAACAGAAATCCCTAAACATGGATTTAAAAAAACCTACATTATGCTGATCTGTGTTATTTTGCAAACAAAAACTGTCAGATTATGTAAATTTACCAAATGTATTCTGTCTATTAAATATAAATATACATATATATATATACATATATCTTTTCTATATACCTCCCATTCAGAAGTCCATTTTTCATATTCTGTTTGCACTACTCTCCTTGTTTGCACTATTTCTTATATTTATATGTACATTTTTCTATTTTTTCCTGTCTCATATATGTGTACCTCTGTTGAATGCTGCTATCAACAATGTGAATTTCTCCACTGTGAGATAAATAAAGGCATATCTTATCTTATCTTGAGCTGGAGCATAGTTTGTGCTGAGTCAAGCACCAAATTGCCTGCAGTTAATCCATAGACTGTATAAAAGATGGACGTAGCAACCGGCCATGAAAAATGAAACCAACCCGAAAGTGTCAAAAACCTGCAATATCACTACGTCCACTAGCTGCTGGCTCCAAAAAGCCCTGGCTCCCATAGAATGAATTGGAAAAGAAGTGATCACAGATCATGAAATACTGCATTCCTACAGCTCAGGATCTTTTTCTTATTACTTTTCATGGTCAAATCCAGAGATCAGGTGACCAATCTGAAAATAAATCAATACTGAATTTTTTAAAAAATCGTCAAAATGTTGCGGGGCAAGGGGCGTGGCTGGCTTGATTGACAGTCAGCAGCGACGATGCAGACGAAGCGAGCAGAAGGCGGTAAATGTGGGCGGGCAGAGTGGGCCCGCCTCTCAATCCGTCTGACCAATCGCTGCTCCTATGGTTCCCTCCGACGATTTTTGCGTCACAAAAATCCAAGATGTCAACCAGGAAGTAGCAAAACCCTGGCTTCATTTTCTCAGTGCAGAAACCAACGGGTGACGTCACGGCAGCTACATCCATCTTTTATACAGTCTACGAGTTAATCCAAGAAAAATATTTCCATTTTCTTCAGTTTTTCCCCTCAGCTACAGCTGCAACTCTCTGCGATGGTACAAAACAAAGAAGACTCCATTTTATCGTTTTTTTTTTTTCCGTTTTAACTGCGATCAGGTGTCCCGTCACTTCAAACATAAGTGCAGTCTACAGCCCTGCCAGCAGCTCTGTGAGGCTGGACCCCTTGAATGTGTGCAACATTTCACAGTAATCAATTTAACAGTTGTTGAGATATTTCTGGACAACATGCCTTAAAGAAAGGTGTTGAGCCATCTTTGTTGAACTGGAACAGTCATGAGATTCCCACCCAGCCAATATCACCACCATTAGTCCACTGAGTGATACCTCAACAGACAGTTTTATAACCATTCATACCTTGAGTCTATATCTAAGTAGCAATTTTACAACTGGTCGTACCTTGAGTTTCGTAAGTCCTGCGCCATTATTTGGCCATGAGCCATCCGATTTGCAAATGAGAAAAACATTGCTCTACAGATGCACTTTAGACAATTACAATATGATTGCTGGGAATCTACGTGGACATACAGCGCTGTAAACAAGTACTTGCCCCGCTGCAGATGTCTTCTATCTTTGTATATAGGTCACACGCAAATGTTTCAAAGCATCAAGTTAATTTTAGTATAAGCCCAAAAAAACACCACATGCAGTTTTTAAATCATGACCAACCATCACCTAAATAGAACCTGTTTGGCTTTGTTAAGTAGGTTAAAGGGTCTCAAAAAGCAGCACGACACCACGTTCTAAAGACATTCAAGAACAGATGCAAAACAAAGTCACTGGAAATGGTTATAAAGCCATTGCACAGTTAGAGCCATCATTCGCAAATGCAGGAAACATGAAACAGCATCGACATCTCATCCAGGAGGTCACCAAAGAATCCAGACAAACATCGAAAGAACTGCAGGCCTCAGTGCAATGATTCCACAATAAAGGGGACACTGGGCAAAAATGGCAGCCATGGGAGAGTTGTAAGGCGCAAACCACCGCTGACCAAAAACACAAAGACTCGTCTGGCATTTGCAAAGAAAAAACATCTGGCTGAGCTCCAAGACATTTGAGATAGCATCCTAAGGACTGATGAGTCAAACTTTTTGGAAGACATAGGTCCCACTACATCTGGTGTGAAACCAAGATTGCATTCCACAAGAAGAACATCATATCAACAGTCAAACACGGTGGTGGTGGTGTGATGGTTTGAGGACCTGGCCAACACAAATTCTGCTCTCTATCAGAAAATCCTCCCGGAGAATATCCGCCCATCAGTTCATGACCTAAAGCTTAAGCACAAATGCGTTGTGCACCATGACAATGACTCAGAGGTGGACAAGCAAGTCCACCTCTGAATGGCTCAAAAAGAACAAAATTAAGGTTTTGTAGAGGCTGTGTTAAAGTCCAGACTTGAATCCAACTCAAGTTACTAAGTTCATTTAGTAACATTTTTCTTGGGGTAGTGGTATTAGTGGCACTGATGTCAAAAAATAAATCAAAGTGGAGTTCAATGCAAACCAGTAACAGAGCGTTCATAAAGTGCCTGGAACATTTGTTTAGTGACATCTTTCATAAGGTAGTGATATCGGCACTAATATAAAAACTGAATCAAAGTGCACATGGTTCTTCAACCTCAAGGACAGGCACAGGGTGGACACGTTGAACGTCCAAGGACGTTACCAAATATGGTCACTTGCCCCATAAAGGGTTAAAAAATTGCATTTTGTACATTATCTTTGTCTAATATTAAATAAATATAATTATTAGTTTGATGATGGGGAATATTTAAGTGTGAGAAATAATCAGAAACAGAAGACATCAGGAAAGGAACAAATACTTTTTGTTTTACTTTTACTTTAAAAAAAAAAAAAAGTCAATAAACAAAAAAAAAAGTAAAGATGTAGCCCTAAATAAACTATTTTAAAATGTTTTCTCTTGCACATTCGCTTCACCTGCTTTGCCGCTGTACACTTCACGATGCCCACAAAGTTGAATCTAATTTTTTTTTTTTTTTTTTTAAATCTACATCTGTTACCTTCTCTGTATCTTGCATGCCCTCAGTTCATTCCAGTATACATCGTAAGGCATGCAGGGGGACTGTTGTAAGCTATAAAAAGGATTGTTGAACTTTAACCCCAATCTACAGAAATTTCGTTAGCTTTATACCGTCTCATAAACAGACACACCTTTAATTGCAGACGATCTTTTCAGCACCTGCTGTGAAGCACAACACGACACGGTTCTTACTCAACTTAACAAGATCTCCAAAACAGTAATTTTGAAACAAGAAACAGTATTTTATTGGCCAGAGTGAATCAGAGAAAACAAGCTTACTTGAATCATTTAACATGTTGTGATGCGAACAAAACTCAAAACATCTGGCATTAATAGTAAATAAAAGCGAGGTTATTTCATTTAACAGCTGATATGAGTATTACAAACTCCAGAACACTAGCATAATAATCGAAATGATGTTAATGCTAATTAACAAACGTTTTGTCTTTCACCTAGTGGTTATAACTGCATGAACAGAACTAATCTTTTCTTACATGTTTTTATCAGAACAGCACTAACAAATTAACTAGCGGGCCATATTTGGATGACATATGCCCTCAACCCATAACCCAAATGGCTGCTTCCTAACGGGTGACCTGCGTAGTGATCACTGTGCTGGTCGTCTGCCCCTTCCTGATCTTCAGCTCACGATTCATCTGGCACCAGACGCACCCGTAACACCATATCAGGTGACAGAGGTCGCCGCAGCATGAGCCCTGCAAGACGGAGAAGGGAGAGAGAGAGGAGATAAACAGCTGTAAATAATGTTGTTGGTTTTTTTTTGTGAGAAATCTTGTAAATATTTACTACTGGAAATATGGCACTAAGATTTGGTGCTGTCACATTTTAAATAAGTGGAAAATTGGAAATAATAATTAATGCTGTTATTAAGATAATCGTGCCAGAGGGAGCAATCAGGGAGCATTGTGTCACCATATATGATCTGAACAAAATAGAGACTGTGGTGCTGTAATGCTACTATAACGTTATAGGGAGAGGAAAAAGTAAGAGGCTAAATAAGTCAAGATGAGAAAACAGTGGGGAAGATGCAGTCCTCTGAACTGGAGGTGACATCTTCACTCTCTACTTTAATAACTGTAGCTAGCATTAGCCTCATTAGCATTGCTTGGCAACAGTGTCTGCAGATCTGGGCGCTAGTGTAATAATCGTAAACATCTTAGTTTTAACTCATAATTATCAAGCATGTTTGATATTATCTTCTTGATCGTCTTGATGAGTCTGTAAGCAGTTCCAAAGACTAACTGGATCTGTAAAGCTCTCGCTTTACCGAATCATCTGGGTCGAATGTTGGTTTAGGAGGATTAAAATCAGGTTAAACTGGCTGAAAACTCCTGCAGTATGAGCCCAGCTTAAAGACGTACATCAGCCTGGATCAATGTTAATTCTGTTTGAGGGTAACCGATATTCAAGATGAAAATGAAGCTGAAACTGAAAAAAAGTAACACGTCGAGTTGGGCAAAAAATGACTAAATGTTCCGGATGAATGGACAAAAGACTTCGGCTCCCAATCAAAATTAGAATATGAGTAACATCAGGCACAACTATTTACAGGAATGCAAACTGTCAACCTTTGGAGGATATTCTAATCATAATCTAATTCACTGTGGTCCACAAAGCAGCTTCCTGTGCCGATTACAGCGACACTAATACTAATTGATATTCAACCACAGAAGACAAGAGCAAATAAATACTAAATTAATTGGCTTAGAGCAAAAGTGGATGGGTCCGGGACACACTGAGCTGCCCCGTGAGAAAATCTGCAGCTGCCAATCAGAGCCCAGGCCGAGGTCACATGATCACGAAAAGTTTTTCAAGCTACATACACACTCATGTGGTGGCGCCCGCATCCAGTAAGTGTAAAATCAGTGAACATGCAGTAAAGACTAACTTTAAATCTGTTAATAATACAAATGTTGTTAATATAGCAAAATAATAGGAACGTTATTATTAATTTTTTTTATTATTATGTTATAATTAATTAAAATGTAATATTGTGTTTGAGACCTACTTTTTAACTGGTCATTAGTAGTGGGACGGCGCCCCTGCACCCCGTATGGACCAGCAGCCACTGCTACAGTTACTCATCTAGAGGTTCCTTACACTCATTAACAAAGCGTATCAGACAGTTATGATATCTGATTGTCCTTGAAACAGACTTGACAATAAAGCTAATCTCTTTATTACAATGATGAGGGGCGCGACAGCAGCTAACAAACACACAGTGGCCGACTTATATAAAAAGATAAACTAATGTTAATCTATAACTGTAAAACTGGTAGAATGAATGCGTCAGTACAAGAATTTATGATGGTGCTCCATTTAAAGCTTGTTCTGGATAGACAGTGAACAGGTCGTAAAGAGGACTTTGCACAACAAGTCAGTGAATCATCTACTAAATGAGCTACTGCTCTTCAGTATAAATATAGAGGTCATGGAGTTGCGGTAATGCTAACACTAATGCTAATGCTAGCTGAGCAGAACGGACAGAGAGACGAGCGGGTCAGAGTTCAGAAACGATCATGCCAACTGGATTTAGTAATAACCCCTGTAACCATGGTAATCACACAAACGATGGCATCAGCTGTGGCCTCCAAGCGTGTAGATGGTATAAACATTCAAACCCACAAATTTGACTAAAATGCTACCAGCAAAAGTAAGACAACATTTTTTTTTTGTTGACGTAAACCAGACCAACACAAATAAAAATGAAACGACTAAAATTTGACAAAATCTAATATACGTTCCTAACAGACTAAAACTAAAGAAAATCTCATCTCTGACAAATTAACACTGGCCTGGTTGCAGTGGAGTTGATATGAAGCAAATCTAACAACCTTTTCCTTACCACATGGAGATAGAGGAAACAAGCTGTAAATAATCAAACAGGTGATAAATATAACCAAGATATTTGCTCTTCTTTTAGCACTGCTTTGGTCTCAAACACGGAGATAATATCTTGTATTTAGCTGCTAAATGTCCCACTATGTTTTCAAATACCGTCTGTCTGCCACTCGGTGCTGGGTACGCAGTGGAAACTACAGCTGGAACAAGTCAGAGTCACGTGTGACTAGTATCGGTGGGTTAACCAACAAATGCAGAAAGGTGCCGTTTCCTTAACTATGCTGTTGTTGTGCATTGTTGTACATTTCCTCCTCCTGCATATACAAAAGCCTAATGCAGTTCACCCACACAATGTCACTGTGGGATGCGGTTTCAGAAAACAAGAAGCTAACCAAACGGCCACCGAGCCAGCTTGGTGCTCTTTGCCAACTCACAGAGTCCACAGAGGAACTAGGGTTGGGCTCATGGATGATGAATGAGCTCACAACGTTGGCCCCAAATTCAATTGAGCATTATATACTAATTAATCACACAGAGCGACTGTCTGGGACGTTAGTGCCTGCTTATGAAGTATGCTAATCTGGTGACACCCATCCTCCGCATCCATCAACACTGTTTCTCTGCAGACATCATCATATGCCAGTTTGATCGGTCTATTGTGTTGTATTTGTTGTAATACAGTTTTAGTAATAAATATTATTATATAAAACAACCCATCATCTTTTCCTGCAACAGATAATAATAATAATATGGTTTTAGGTTGGCTAAATCGCAAATTAATATAAAAAAAAAAACATTATGTGTTAAATCTGCAGCAATAATTCAGGATTACAGTTACTCTTCATCTTCATGACATTCTCGTCTAATGCGTTATTCTTTAGCATGATTTCATGAAATTTTGTGGCTGCTTGTACCACACAGTTGTTCATTCATGGACTCTATTGTGTAATCTCATTTGGTGAGCGTCACTGGCAAAATCCACTATCCACGATACGGTAAACATATTGATTAAAAAGGATGCTGTACGAGTTTCGAATGACACGAGGGATTGACCATGCACAAAAAGAGAACACGCAAAAGCAGTCAGAAAGTTAAAACCCTGTGCAGCATACTCGTCTCATGCAATTAAACTGTGTGACAGTTTATATATTACCCATCATTCATTACAGTCCTCCAGCTCGTATGGTAACCTGAAGTGTCTAATGTGTTCTTAGAAATGATGTTTACATTAAGCATGTACATATGCACTGAAACATGTATACTCAGCCTTACAGGGATGTTGTGGCGCTCTCTAATGTTGGAGCGGAGCGCCAAGGACACCAAGCAGCAGCAGTCCAGCAGTGGCATCAGGCAGCACCAGCCATACTCCTTGGCTGTCTGGCACTGCATGCAGGGGAAACACCAATAGCCAAAGCAACCTTGAGAGCGGAAGAAAAGAGGAAAAAATTGTTAAAGTGGCTGTAATCAATGTTTGCAATGACAATGTGACAAATACGACATTTTGAAAGGGGTCATTTGTTCTTGTCCTGTGCTTTACGGAGCCTTATGGGGGGTTTCAGCTCAGTGTTTGGCTGTCTGATCATATAGTTTGTTTTCTTTCGCTCTTACCCTGTTGCCATAGCATGTTGCTGTTTTATGCAAAAAGGAAAAATAATTCAGGAATAGTTTATGAGATAATTCATTCTGTGAATGTATATAAGACATCCAACATCTCGTGCAATACTTTTTGAATCTTTTATTTCTTATCTTTCATATTTTTACTGAGCAATTTTGCGCTTGATTTTTTTAGTAATCTTTTGATGTGTTTTGCACTGAAAATAGGAGAAGCTCTCCAGTGTCATTGTACACTGTATAATGAAAACTATAATGAAAAGTTCGACACTTAACTACATAAGGAAATGTATGTAAATCTTGTGTTTCCAATGCCACAAAAACCGTACATTTTAAATTATCTGTCAGGAACAGAACAGTAACAACAAAAGAGGAAGACATGACACATGTTGTTTCACAGGCTTCAGCACAATAACATGTCTTTCCTCTGCAATTTCGTAACTTTTATTAATTAAATATTAATTTTTACTGCACAGACAACACCGAGTAAGGTTTGTTTTATTCACAGAGTAAAATAAAATGAATGAAAGAAAAATACTTTATTTATCTTTCATTCATTCATTTCATTTTATTCTGTGAACAACACATGTTGTTTTATAGGCTTCAGTACAATAACGTGTCTTTCCTCTGCAATTTCATAATTTTTACTGCACAGACAACACTGAGTAAGGTTTGTTTTATTCACTGTGCAGTAAAAATTAATATTTAACTAATAAAAATTACGAAATTGCAGAGGAAAGACACGTTATTGTAATGAAGCCTGTGAAACAACATGTGTCATGTCTTCCTCTTTTGTTGTTACTGTTCTGTTCCTGACAGATAATTAAAATGTACGGTTTTTGTGGCATTGTAAACAAGATTTACATACACTTCCTTATGTAGTTAATGTCGAACTTTTCATTATAGTTTTCATTATACAGTGTACAACGACACTGGAGACCTTCTCCTATTTTCAGTGCAAAGCACATCAGAAGATTACTAAAAATAAATAAATAAAATAAAATAAAATGTTATCACACAAGAACCTGTAAAACATTAACTTAATCTACGACATATAACTTTAATCTTAATGACAGACATGTCCTCCATAAAGAACAAAATTATGGAGCTGGATAAAAAAAGCCACTTGTTTCCTGCATTTCTATACGTTAAATACATCCATCCATTATCTATACACCGCTTAATCCTCACTCGGGTCACGGGGGGGCTGGAGTCTATCCCAGCTGACTCAGGGTGAAGGCAGGGGACACCCTGGACAGGTCACCAGTCTATCGCAGGGCCACACTTAGAGACAGACAAAGCACACTCACATTCACACCTACGGACAATTTAGAATCACCAATTAACCTCAACATGTTTTTGGAGGAAGCCGGAGAACCCGGAGAGAACCCACACTGCACGTGGAGAACATGGAGACTCCACGCAGAACAATCCCGGGTGTCCTTATCAGGACGCGAACCGGCGACCTTCTAGCTGCGAGGCAACGATGCTAACCACCGAGCCACCTTGCAGCCCTTATACGTTAAATCAATCTCGCAAATAAATAATGGCAGGAAAATTAGTTATTGTGCTTTAACAATGTTTGGAGTATAAAAATCTGTATATCTATGTTTTTTACAGCTACTTCATACTGTTATTGCTGTCTTGTTATCGACTGAAATTCAATGCAAGTAATAGAATATTACAATAGTCAATAAAATGTTGTTCTAAAAACAAAGTAGCCACAACATTTTATTCAGGTCATCATCATAGTTTCGATAGGTGCAGCCTTTATTACATGACTGATGAGGATAAGGCCTTCAACTCAGGGCGTCTCTTATCTGGCGGCTGAGTAGTCAGAGTGACCTGACAGAGGGTTTAGTAAGAAAATCAGCCTGAAATAATAAAAGAATTCACCTTGGAGACTGGAAAAAACTGAAAATCTTTGTTACAGTTTAGCATCATGTGGGCAATTACGAAAGAGAGAGGGTCTAAGAAATGTTGTTGGCTTTTTAAAATCTTTTCTATGAGTACATCCTGTTTATTGGAAGAGCTACACCAAAGAGCTTTTGTCCTTCAGTCAAGAAATCTTATATTTAGTTCATTTTACAAAAAGGTGTACACACGTATTTTGTGCCTTGAATTAATTAACACCAATATAGCTCCGGTGTTCAAAATGTTTTGCTACTTTTATGATCTCAAGCCGGAGCATTAATGCTATCTCAATAAACTCATTTATATTGTCATGACAACGGACAACTTGGAAGGTTGTTCTGTTGACTTACAGGTGCTCATGTCATTGCAGCAATCTAACACGCCGGTGCTCCACTCCTGAGGGCCGTGACTGGTGGTGGTCATCACGATCTGGGTTGGCTGCTGTGTGTAGGCCATGTCTGGAGGATACGAGGCAGAAATAAGGACAGTGGGAAAGAAGATCGTGTCCGTTGCTCCTAAGTAAGGTGGTTTAAAGCATTACTGTCTGCAGTCAGTCCACTGTAACATGTAAATCAGGGTATGTTTTGGTTCATAGGGCTGCTAGAAACACCTGTTGTTGTTCATGCAAAATCTACCTGTATCTATATGTTCATGAAAATTGAACTGGCCAATGAGGTAAATCAGGAAGCAGGACTGCCATGTGGCAATAGTGGACACAGAGAGAGGTTTTTATCCATACTGCCATTACATTTAAGTGTCCTTACATACATTTAGCCGTGTTGTGATAGGCTTAAATGTATTTAAATTTCAATATTTAATTTAAATACTCAGTTTGGCTCCCACAGCTTGAAAGTTCAGCTATTTCTCATTAATGTTAACACGTCGAACAGCTTTACTAATTGCTTGAAATTTCAAATACACCCCTTCAGTTGCAAAATTTTTACATAAAATACATTTTCTGAGTATGGTGGCAGTAAAAATTAATTTGAAATTATTTTGTTCCAAGGAAATTACAAGCTCTTTGTTGGGAGAGCCACCAATAGATTAGCTTGTCGTTAGCTGCTAGCCACAATCCACACATTGTTAAGCTAGCTGTGTTTTTGGTTTTGTTTTGTGTGTTTCAATTTCTTTAAATGATAAATGACATGCTATTTAATTTTAAGTCTTCATTATTTTTTATGCCATATCTTATATTACAGACTGCCTGGAGCCTTGGGTTTTATATGTGCATAAAGTACACACCTGTTGGCTAACATTTATTCACTTAATTGGCGCGCTAGCTTCAATGCTTCATTAGCTTTTTAGCTAATTTGCTTAAAAATAAAGTTAGTCCAAAGAAATTATTCAAATGATTTAATGATATAATAATATATCCCAAAGTAGCTTATTCAGACCAAAAGAAAATGGGGAAAAAAAATGAATATGGCTCTAACAAGTCAATTAAAAACCAGCAGGGCTGAAAATTAAATAGCTTTAGGCTAAAACAAATCAAATGCGTCACGTCCTCTCTGCCCAAAGTTATGGACGTTTATAATCAGCAAGTAGATAACAACAACCAATAATACTGGCAAAAACACATTTGAAAAAATCTATTTTACATTCACAAATATTTCTAATTGTTCTATGTGGCTTAGACTACAAAAGTTTTCCTTACCTTTCTCTTTTTTTTAGTTCCGTTAGGTCCGTGAAAGAGTGAACAGCTTCGGAGGCAACAGCTCAGAGCAGCGAGGGGAGGAGAGTCGGAGAGAGAGACGGGCTCCGAGAGCTTTATGTGTCGGAGGAGGGACAAGCCCTCATGGAAATAAATAGTGATAAAACAATAAAATAATAATAAAAAAAAAAAAGATGGAATGGAAAATGCTAATTTACAGTTGACATATACACACATACATACCTGTGCGTTTTTACAAATATAGGTTTCATAAATCAGAAATTGTTTAAATAAATAAATAAATAAATGTTGTCTCCTGTCGTGACAATCTAGTCTAACCAGTAATTGAGATCTAGACCTGGTGGGAAAGTGGTTCAGTTCTTTTTTTCGTTTCTGCTTTTTTTCCCTGCAACTACAACACTTTCACAATTGAAATCCACAAACTGTGTTTTAAAGAGTCTTCATCCTCTCAGGGACACTCTAGTCCAGATTATCCAGTCCAGATTTTAATCTGGGTTTAAATCTAATGTGGTTCAGGATGCGAAGAAAAGGAAGCGAAATCTCACTTATTTGCATTTTCACAAACAGAACAATGTTTTTACAAATGTGAAAGTGGGTTTCAGACAGCATGAAGGGTTCACCTGAAATGCTTTTATAAAAATATGGGAGCAAATAAATGGAAAGGTAAACTTCATCTAATATGTTATACAGCCAGCTGGTGATTGGTTATTCTAGTCAGGTGAAATTATTACAGCAGGACACATATGATAATATAAATCCTAAAGGAAATGATCTTCATCCAGACAGGTATTGTGCAAGCAAATAGAATTAAATTGACAACACACAGCCTGCATAGGTGTGGGCAGTAGGTAAGTCAGAGCCATGTTGCACTGGCGACCCTGTGAGGCTGTGCCCATCATTACATGTCAAACAGGCATCGGATGAAAAGATTGTGTTTTGGAGCCAGAGAAAAGGTGAATGAAACACACTCACAGGAATTCAGTTAATCAGAGAGTCAGGCTCTGCTGTTTGTACCTTTGACTCAGCGTGGCTTCATCCGGCTGCTGAGACGGTGGTCCTTCTGGTCTCCATCTCTGCAGAAGACTTGTGAAGCTCTGTTGTAGTGACCATCAGGTCGCTGGTCTCCTCGAGTGAAAGATA